AAAACCCCCCCCCCCCCCCCCCCCCCCCCCCACACACACACACACACACCCGCGCGCACGCACTGATACGGACGGTGCCGGGCAGAGCCAGAACCGCCCAGTCCAGGTTTAAACATCTGCAGGAGAACATCTGAGCGTCAAGGCAAAGAGAAGTGTTTCAGCTGACCGTTTGAAATAAAATCTAACCTCGTCATTAAATAACGAGATGCTGCAAATGGAGCCTGTCAGAAAACCAGAGCTGGAGTCTGCGGAGGCGGACCCGCGTGCTGATCCCATCCCATAACGTGTGTCTGATTCTTGGCTGCAGCGCGCGGTTAGACGCCCGCGTCGATGCACCGCCGCGAGTCGTCGGTTCTATTCCGTTTTTTGCTGAATAACGAGACGGTTTGTCTGTTTGAAAACCGACCGATCCGCTCCTCCTCCGTTCAGGTTCCTCTCCGTGTCTTCCACCCGCCCCAGCAGCAGAAGCACGTACTGCTGCACTTCAACCGACCTTGACTCTGTCCTCTGGGTAGTGCTCGCATCTGATTGGTTATAGCCGCAGCGCCCTGTCGCTCTCTTGGATTCTGATTGGTGAACAGGCGTGAGTCACGCCCCTCCCGCCTCTGGCCGGTTCGGTTGGATCTCTCCGCTCCCCTTTCTCTCGGCGGTGGGTCGGAGCCGCTGTCCCTGGCCTCGCATGTTTCCCTTTGGATTCCTGTTTTCAGTTTGATCCCCCCTCCCCCTGTGAAGGGCCAGTCTGTGCAGTGCTGTTTTATTCAATCTCCCTCCCGGGCATATCTAACATTTCGAGGCTTTAACCCCCGAGCATCATGGCTGTGGTTAGCGGATCGTCTGGGCCGGTTGCCCGGCTCGAGGGCCGTGAGTTCGAATACATGATGAAGAAGCGCTCGGTGACCATCGGCCGGAACTCCTCTCAGGGCTCCGTGGATGTGAGCATGGGCCACTCGAGCTTCATCTCCCGGAGGCATCTGGAGATTTTCACCACCAGCGACGACGGCACGGGCGGCGGGGACTTCTACCTGAGGTGTCTGGGGAAAAACGGGGTGTTTGTGGACGGAGTGTTCCTCAGACGGGGCGCCCCTCCTCTGCAGCTACCACGAATGTAAGTCCCCCCCCTCCACCCCCCGCCACCCCTTGCCGAACATGTGGATGTTAGCCGAACGGCTAAAGTTAACAACATTGGTTTATTTTAGCTAACAAGGGGGCGAAAGGGCCACGTGCTTTAGCATGTTAGCAAGAATCCGCATCCTGTTTCCAAACTAGCCCTGGTCTTTGTTGACATTCCTCCGTGCTGTTACCCGCCTCGCATTCCTCCGTCCCGCCCGGCTCAAGTGGCCCTCCGCCGCTTGTAATCGGGCCTAACACGATGTTGATCAGCCAGAGGTCGCTTATTTCTCTGCCGTTGAAGCCAGAGATATGTCCTCGTGTCAGTGTAAACATTCGGTGTGTTTATCTGCAGCCTGCTTGTTTTTGTTGTTTTTTTGTGAATGGAGCTCCTGAAAATGTAAACAAACCGTTCCGTCCCGCCCTGCCGGCTCCCAGCAGCTCCACCTGCACGACCCGTGACCTCTGCCCCACTGAGGCCGAGCCCGGCTCGCAGCCTCCGGCGGGAAAACGGCTCTTTAAGCCGCTACCTCAACACTTCGGTCCCGGGGTGGTGGGAGCCATAGGCGGTGCCACGTGCATTGTAATGGGGGGGCTCGTGCCCCCCCCCCCCCCCCCCCCCCCCCATAAAATTGATTAAACTTATGTGCATATTTACAACGCAAAATGTAACAAATTCCTGTCATTCTGTGGTGACACTTTTTGAAAACTAATATCAAATATATTATTTGAAGGACTCTGGGATGGAGACCGTGGTGTCAACGTAAAAGAGTTTAAAACTGGGTACTGTAAAGTAAATACAAGGTCATGACAGACGGGGTACAGAAGGTGGTACATTCAGGGTGACCACGGGGTAATGATGAGGAACATACACAGTTCTTACAAGGTACTAATAAATGTTAAAACCATGTTTTCATATATTATTATTGTTATTATATTTACAAAGTAGGGAAGAGGGCACTTGCAGTGTAATTACAGGTACTTGTGAGAGATTCGAGGGCTGTAGTTCGGTGGTCAGTGTCGTGGCCTTGTCATCCTGAGGTTGCGAGTTCGAGCCCAGATTGTGCCAAAAAGGACATCCGACGTAAAAAGAAAAAAAATTACTCTGTCCCTGTATTCGCCATTTGGCCTGTCACAAAGAGAAGCCCACACTTTTCTGACTGCCTCGGCCAACGGCGTGTTGCCTGCGCGCGCAACAGCCGGCTACTGGAAGAGGAGTACTTTGAAGCAAAATGACGACATTGCTGTTAAAGCGCCTTTCCGCAGAAACAAACACACCCTTGAACTTCTGACCAGTCACACAATACTTTTGAGTATGCTCCTGTGAGCCAACGATCGGCCCGGGCTGCGTGTCGAGAAGAGGCGTACGAAGCATCTACCAGAACAAAATTACGACATTTCTGTCACGCAACTACGTCAATTAGAGGCGATTTCTCTGCTTTGGATGAAGTACGCAGGGCCCAGTATGGGGTACGTACACAGGTCTTACAAGGTACTTCTGAGGGTACGTACAGGATATTTACAGAGTAATTAGTTACTTCAAGGGCACTTCCATAAGGTCATTTACTGGTTATTTATTTATAAGATGGATATGGGGAAACCTACAGGGTAATCACAGATACTTGAGTGAGAATGTGCATTTAATAAAATATTGTTGTATACTACATGAGAGACAACTGCCTTGTGAGTTCTTTTCATGCTTGACCAATAAATATGAATCTTAGACAGGGTACCTACATGGTAATTACAGGGTACTTATGGGGTACCTAAAGGGTAAATATGGGGGTACTTACAAAGTACTTAAGGGCTCAGGCTCTTTAATGGAGTGACGCGTTGCTGTGTCCCTGTGCGACTGTATGCCTAGCAACTCCCCTGAACTGAGCCATGCGTTTAGGATTGTTCTGAAACAGACTTAACTAACAGCTTTCATTTACACTAGATTGTAATTGTTGGTTCTAATTGTATAGAGATAAAATGGGAATCTGCGCTTGTGATACACAGAGTAAATTCCCAGACTTCCATTAATCATCTGTGTGTTTACTAGAGCCCGACCGTTATGGACATTTTGGACATCGCCAATATCGATGTGTCCCCAAATGCCTAAATCGGCCTAAAAATATTGGCCCTAGCGATGTATCGGTCAGGCTCTAGTGTTTACTTCCTGTTTGCAACAGCCAAAAACAAGAAAGCAACAACCTTTTAATTCAACTCCCTTCACTCCTTTATATTTATTCCTTTATTAAACGTTGGAACGGTAACGACGAAATAACGAGTTTTCTGCTGTAACAAACTCGATTTTAGTCATGCAGTGATTTACGTTATCAGGTCAGTGTTTCCTCTAGGTTACTTGCCTTGGCAGGACGCTCATCTCTTTCGTTGTTTTTGTCGTGGGGGGTGGACGGAGACACATCTGTGTTGCGTGCTGCCAACAGTTGTCGACCGGGGGGGAGGGTGAAGGTAACGGCTCAGCATGAGGGAGTCGCAGCGCTACCTCTGTAGCTTTTTAGCTAGCGTGTCTGTATTGCGTGCTGCTAGCTTAGCTCTACGTCATTTCCGGCAGCTGTGGGGGAACAGTTCGGTCGGCGGGGCGCTTGGTTCTGTTGACAGGGCGGGGCGCCCTCCTTGTATTATGGTAGGGGCAACTTGTTTATTAAAAGAAACTTAAATGTGTAGAAAATATGACTTCACGTTGTTCGATGCAAATTCGAGCCATTATTTATCACAAAATGTTAAATCTCAAAATGCTGTAACTTAATTGTTGTACCCCGTTGAACAGTAGGTTTCTTTTGGCTGCTCCCTTCTTCAGACGTCAGTGAGCGAACTCGCATGAAAGATTTGCCATTTGTTTTACGCCGGGTGCCCTTTCTGACGCAACCTGGGCTCGAACCCGCAACCTCGGGATTACAAGACCGTGCCTCTGACCGCCGAGCTACCGCGGCCCCTTTTTGCCATGATGATGATCTTTGTCAAACTGTGGTGGAAATAGTTTTTCACCTCGAACCTTTTTTTTAAAACTAGGGTAAAGTTTCAACTATAACAGTAAATATGAATGATTGATTTGTCCCAGATATTTTGTTTGTTTCTAAATAATAAACAACCATTTAGTATTGGTCTGTGAGCTGACAACAAGGTTTTAGAAGGAACTCTTTGCAGAGTTTCTGTTGAGTCCATCCTGTCGAAGAAATGCAAAAACGCACTTTTTAAAGAATTTTTTTGCAGAGTAGAAAAATAGTTTTGGCTTCTGATCTGATTGAAGTAATTTATTTATCATATAACGTGAAAAATGTCAGTATTTGATTAGTTTTAAGAACAATAAAAAACAATTTAATGCATTTAATCTGCTTTCCCATATATATATATATATATATATATATATATATATATATATATATATATATATATATATATATATATATGTATGTATATTAAAAGACATATCAGGTGAAGTGACAAATTGCTAATTTAATAACGTCTATACCACAAGTTGTACGTGTAAACCCTCGTCAGTGAGAATACACTTCAACAAGGTGCAGAGTCCCGCCATGTTTCAAACATTAATAATTCTTCCAGCATCGTGTGAGAAAACTGACCGTTAATCATTTACCCAAGTCCGACTGGTTGAGAATAATAAATAATAAAATGGTAAATGATAACTATATTCATTGTGTCACTTTCACGAGAGTAGGATTAGTGAATATTGACCTGATTTTAAACGTTTTTACAGATTCTGTTTATTTGACGCATCTCATTGTTGCACAAGTTTAAAGTTTTAATGTGTAAAGAAGCATGTCTCGTCAGCGTCGCTCATAGAACCCGTTTCAGAGCCTGAACTCCAGCGGCCTGTTTGTGTCTGGTTCCGACAGATTTGTTTGGGATCGAAGCGCCGTGGCGGTTTATTCGCAGAAGTGCCCTTCGATGTAAACAAACCCACCGGCGTCTGCCAGCACGGCTCAGACTTTGCACACCGCTCACTCGTTATTGTGCAATCTTTCAACCAAAAACAAACCCCGACACTTTCCTGCTGTGCACGGAGAGAGACGACTTGTTTTGACTTGATGCCGTTTCTTAACCGTCCTCGTGCACAAATGTGTTTCTGCACCTCCTTTTCTTCGTGCCGCTCCAGCAGACTTCAGCCTAAAAGCTCTGCAAGGAATTCAAAATGTTGTTTTCAGCTCCTGATGTTGACGAGATGATAAACAGCTTCTTTATCGTTTTGGCTTTAATTAAATGTACATTTCTGATAAAAACACCGCCCCGGCAGTTGTTTTAGACGAGGGAGCGTGGCTCAGAGGGTCGATGGTATTCCAGGGATTCCTCTTTAATGACGTAAACTGAGCCACAGCTAGATCCACCCCCCCACCCCCACCCCCAGCCGAGCGGATGGGGGTGAAATTCAAGGGAAAGCTTTGTTTTTGTTGCCGTCCTCGTAGTTCAGCAGCGTAGCAACTGCGCCTTTTTGGAGTTTGGGCCTCTTTGTTCTTGCAGCAGAAATAATGAGGCTATAAAGAGGCTTCAGTAATTGTGTGTGTGTGTGTGTGTGGGGGGGGGGGGGGGTGTTAATACCATTAAATTTCTTAGTACAAAAACATTTGAACTTCAAACTCAGATTTCAGAGTTGGTCTAAGTTTGGGTTCTGTTGGACAGAAATCTTTCACTGGTTGTTTGTGACAGTTCTGTCACAAAGGTTTTGTTCACACGCAGGAAAATGAGGCTCAATTTTATTTATTTTTCCTTTTATAAAAAGATTAAAAATACTTTGACAGTCTTGAGTGTAACAAATCCGACCCGGGTCTTTTTCGTGTTTGGTAATAAATGAGATGCAGCGACCTGTATTCTGAACGACTGTCACATTAATTGTTCATTGTTAGGCTTCTTCATCTGGAACCCGAGTCCGAATTTCGTACCATAAACATGCACATTTGAGCTGGTATGTAGGCGTGTCGCCGTAAACAATAAATCAATTAATCGCATGATAAATGAAAATGATCGACCTCATTTTCATTTATTGGCTTCATCGTTTCTTCGTGTCTCTCTTTCTCCTGAAGACACTGGATGACGAACTCAACTCCGGTGCTCTTCACTGACCCCTCCCTTTCGTTTCTCGTTAAAATATGTTTTAATCGCCCAAAATCGTGTTTTTGGATTGTTAAAAGCAGCTAAGCTGAGAAGCTAAGCTACGAGCTAAGCTAACAGGCCGACCTCGGGAAAAACACCTCCAACTCGTCGAAGCTCCAGAATTCATGGTTGAAACCCGTGCCTTCGTGTAAAAAGAAGCTGAGAACTTGTTTACTGATTTTTTTATTAAAAGCTTTGTGTGAAAAATGAGAGCTCAAAGCACACCGATCGTCCACCATTTTGAAAACTGAAGAGAAACAGCCCATGTCACGTCAAGTGGCCTCCTTCCCATTTGTCTTAAAGAGACACGCTGCTTGCTCCCTCACTATCCATCCTTCGGTTCAAACAGTTTTATACTGCCATCCGGTGGTCAAACAAAGGTACTACGCACAAAACAAATTAAACATTTCTTCTTAAATTTAACAATTATTAATTATTTTCAAATTTCAAACAATATTATCGTTTATTGCGATAATTTCTGAGACAATTAATTGCCCAGCAAAATTAGTTATTGTGACGGGCCTACTGGTATGGCAATAAAAAAATCCTTGAGTCTTGTACAACTTTTACATCAGTGAAGGAGAAGTATACAGATGTGGTTTCCAGTCGTCTGAGACGGCCTGTTTCCATCTCGGGACAACCAGACGTCACCTCGGGGTTGTCCCGTGGACAAGTTCTCCGTCGCCACGACACGCTTCCATCATCAGTGAAATCGAAAGGGGGGGAAAGAACGCGTTTTGTTGTGGTCTTGTTAAAAACAAATCTATTCGTGAGCCAGGGATTAAAGCAACGCTGCTTTCAACAAATGATCAGAACCAGAGCCACAGTTTGAGCCAATCAGAGCGGGGCGGGGCGGGGCCTGCTGTCTGACGCACGGCAGGTGATCGCAGTGTTCCTGACTCAGACTGCAGGTGAGAGCACCAGCAGTGTTCCCTGGACTATTTTCCAAGCAGGACACTAACCGAAGGTGACCACGTTTAATGTTTAATAGTATATAATATAATAGTGTTTAAACAACAAGGCGTTTCTGGAGGAGCTCAACTTGATTATATTTAGAACCAGATTGAGATAACTGTACTGTGATAAATGCAATTTAGTAAATGATCACACATAAAAATAAAAAGTATTAAATTACTACACGAGCTAAAATCCTGTAAATATAGTCCCTTTGAACGAAATAATGATTTTACTGGTACCAGCATGTTCAGTTTAGAGCTTGGAGCTCCACGTCTCCAGCTGCAGGACGGTCATCCCGTTTGTCCTGCCCCAGACTTCACACCAACGCTGGTGTCGGACCATATGGATACGAACACGATGGGATCCATACGAGTTTGTTTTTACCTTCAATACTTCGCTCCCGTTCCAGAAGTGCAAATCTGTGTCGGTACAAACAGCGGAGGAAACGACAATAATTTAGTTGGTTCCGATCGTCCAAGTCCTGCAGAACCTATCCGCTCATGCTAACACATGTAGCCTCCATCTTTCCTCCCATAAGCACAGCGTGCTGCGGGTGACGTCACGTCTGCGGTCGCTTCTGGACTGTTCACACTGGAGTCGGATGGAGGAAAATAAAAGTTTTTTAATGTGAACGTCCACACAGAAACATCAGGTCTGAGCCTGAACACCTGCAGTGTGAACAGAGTAGAAGATCCTTAAAAATCCAAGCTTTGAAGTTTCATATTTGCTCGGCGGTATTTATTATAGACGCACGGTTATTCTTCATAATCCTAAAAAAAACAAAAAAACAACAGCTTTTCTGTTTCTTGTGTGAGGATTTGAATCATCATAATAATCTTAAGTATCAGTTCAACTGAGAAATCAGAACAATAATACAATACAACTTTATTTACAAAGCACTTTAGAAACAACGCTGTTGGTCAAAGTGCTGTGCACTAGCACGCACACGCAACAAGCATAAAATCCATCAAATCAAAGGACCAGTAACATCATGTGTTGGTGCCAGAAGGCCTTCTGATGTTGACAGGAGCAACAGAGAGGACCGCCTGAGCGTGGGCCCGTGCACTTGATTTTTACAGAACCCGGATCGTTTAAAGACAAAAAGGACGTCGTAGCAGAAACGCTGAATTATTGCAGCAGCAGTTCAGCATGGAGTCGTGAGGACTTTGATTTTACCTGAGTCTAACTCGGCTTCCTACACCGACTGATGAAAGCTGTCCAAGCTGCAGAAGAAGATGTTTGTGGACTAGAAACATGTCGCTGTCGAACCCTGATTGTCTGTAGGCAATAGATGGAGTTACAACTCGACTGTGTTTATGAACTATACGGGTTAGCATCCATGCTAACTATTGCTCTGCAGTAAGCGGTTTAGACTTTTCTTGTTGTGCCCTTTGTTAAGCATAGACATATTTAAATCAGTGTTTCCTTATGCTGTTTAATTTATAGTCTCTGAATCACAATCGGGTTGAACTGTGAAGTGCCAGATGATGCATGTTTCACGTAAAGTGTTGATCTCGGTGCGTTTTTGTTTGTTGACAGTAAAGTGACGTACAGGAAGAAACACGAAGGAGCCAGGTTGTTCCGTTTCGATCGTTCCCTGCCCGTCAGTCGTTGGACGTGAAACGTGTCTGGTGTTATTTAAGGAGCTTCCATAAAGCCTCTCCTCTCATCGCTCTGCTTCAGGAAGCGTTTCTGTGAGCAGCAAAGCTAATTTAAGATGGTGTCAGGGATACTGTACTCCGCCTGACGAGCTGAGCAGGGTTGACTGTGAAAAGCAGTTTGAGTTCTGTAGCCGGGTCCTATCCAGGGTTTAGGAGGTTTTCAGCTCTGCCTGAATGGTTCAGACTTCATCCAGATCGTTCTTTTTCGTCCCCTGTTGCAGAAACAAGCAGCGCGTTTAAAAGTCAAGTTTTATTAGTTTTTTTTTTTCCTGCTCAAGTTCTTTGTTAGAAGAAAAAGTTGATTTCTTTCTTTAACCGTTTGTTCTCTCTCAGTGTTAATTATAGACATTAAAGCTGTTCACGATGCTCCGGTTGTGTCTGTGTACTGAAGTAAAATTCAAAAATAACTCTGACGCTCGATGTTTCAAAATGATTGTTGTTGTTTGAGACGCCCGGGCGCCTGAGTTGGCTCCATCAGTGCACATTTATACAAAGTGATTAATTAACGTTACTCATTAAAGCCAGGAGTTTCTCTTGTTGTCACTTCTGACACAACAGAAAGGTAAAAGCTCTTTAAGCGGTTCTTTTTATATCACTCTGCTGTATTTAGCCCAGTTTTCCTCTGAGGATGTCGCTCCATCCTTGAACTGGGACATCGGAGCGTCGTCGGGTCTTTGCACGTGTTCCGAAACGTTCCGAGGCTGCACAGAGAACCGGTGGGTGGTTTCTGATCCTTCTGTTTTCTTCCTGCAGGTGCACGTTCAGGTTCCCCAGCACAAACATTAAGATCATGTTCACAGCACTGCCCAGTGGGAAGAAAGCAAAGCGTGAGGCCCCGGAGTCCCCGGTGAAACCAGTACAGCCCCAGATCTCCCCCCTGACCATCAACATTCCAGACAACATCGCTCACCTAATGAGCCCCCTGCCATCGCCCACCGGCACCATCAGGTAGAACCGTTTACAGGTGCAGCTCCAACAGTTAGAACGTCCTGGAAGGGTTCAACACTTCCTGTCAGTCGTTTCAGATCAATTGTTCATTATAGAGTGAAATATTTCAGCCTTTATCATAATCATCATGATGATTATGATAAATAATCATCATGATGAAGATTATGATTATCATGATGATTATTATGATAAATAATAATATTGATGATTATGATAAATAATAATGATGATGATGATTATGATAATCATGATTGGGATTATTTATTATAATCATGATGATGATTATGATAATCATGATGATTATGATAAATAATCATGATTATCATAATCATGTTGATGATAATCATTATTATTATTTATCACTATCATGATGATGATTTTGATAAATAACCATGATGATGATTTTGATAAATAATCATGATGAGTATTATGATAATCATGATGAGTATTATGATAAATAAACGTAATCATGATGATTATCAGAATCGTTGACGATTCTGATAAATCATCATGATTATGATTTATCATAATCATGATGATTTATCATGATTATGATAATCATAATCTTGATGATGATTTATAATAAGCATGATTATGATAATTATAATCATGATTATTTATCATCATCATCATGATTATGATATTCATAATCATTACGATTATCAGAATCATGATGATGATAAATAATCATGATTATAATTATCATAATCATCATGATGATTATTATGATTATCATGATGATGATTTTGATAATCGTAATCATGATTATGATTATTTATCAGAATCATGATGATGATGATACATAATCATGATTATAATTATCATAATCATCATGATGATTATTATGATTATCATTATGATGATTATGATTCAGAGTCTCAGAAAATAAGAATATTGTGAAGAAGTTGAATATTGTAAACTCCTGGTGTCTCACCCTCATCAGCTGATTACCTCCTGAACATGAGCTACAAATGTCTCATTCCTCGAGTCCAGCCACTCCTGAACCAGAGACAACATCAGAAGTGTCTTACCTGCTGAGGAGACAAAGAGCTGGGCTGTCTCTCAGTGGTCCAACGTCCTCTTTCCACATGAAAGTACATTTTTATGTCATTTCTGGAGGAAGAGGGGAGAGTTCCAGAATCCACGGTGTTGAAGTCCAGAGTGAAGTTTTCACAGTCAAGGATGGTTTGGATCCATGTCCACTGCTGGTTCTGGTCCACTGGGTTCTCTGAAGTCCACAGTCCATGCAGCATCCATCTAGCAGGACATTTTAGAGCTCTTCGTGCTTCCTTCTGCTGACGAGCTTTATGGAGAAGCTGGTTTCATTTTCCAGCAGGACTCGGCCCACGTTGACAACCGGCTCTGGAATATTCTCATTTACTGAGACTCTGATTTTTAGTTTATCATAATCTGTGGCAGCACGACGGCTCAGTGGTTAGCACTGTTGCCTCACAGCAAGAAGGTCCTGGGTTCAATCCCCGGTTGGACCTGGGGTCTTTCTGTGTGGAGTTTGCATGTTCTCTCCGTGAATGCGTGGGTTTTCTCCGGGTACTCCGGTTTCCTCCCACGGAACAAAAACATGCATGTTAGGCTGCCTCCAGGCCTGAGGCCTCCCTTGCAGCAGAGATCTGTGATCTCAGTGGGATTTCCCCGGTTACATAAATGTTAATAAAATAAATAAATCTGTCAGCTCTAATCATCAATCGTAAGTAATCCAGGTAAAAATCCAACATTACGGTCTCTTTGTTTTTCTTATTCTGAAACGTTTCGTCCTTCATTTAAAGGACTTCATCAGTCTGAGGAGCCACAAACAAACCAAGTCCCACAAGCACCAACTCCCATAGTGGGGAAAAAAAAAAAAACAGTTTGCTGGTGATAAGATGATTTCTGGGGCCCGCCCTCTCCCCCATCAACTCCTATAATCTTCAAGATTACAAGAAATAAAGGCTTGAAATATTTCACTGTGTTTAGTGAATCTATGTGAGTTTCTGCAGTGTGACAGAAAATATTGGACTTTTTCACGATAATCAAATTTTTTGAGGTGCACCTGTAGAAGGGACTAAACGGGTCTAACCCCGACGTGTTGTTTAAATATGATCCTGTGCAGCTCTGCTCTCTCTGCTGGTTCTGAGGCCCACGTTGCCCCGGCTGGACCTTGAGCTGTCAGCTGACCTTGGCGGGGTCTCTGCTGATCAGCTTAGGCTTAGTTCTCTGCTGGCAGGACTGGAGTGGGGGGTGGGGGTGGGGGGTGACTCAGACCCTCAGGTTGTCTCAAACGCAGGTTTCCTCTCATTGTGTCTGTTTCGTGTAGATTTAAGTGATGAAGAGGATTCACAGCTTCAGTAATAAAAGCTACTGTCCCCGTCACTAAATACAGAAGTTCTACTTTAACATGTTTCAGCTGAAAAAATAGACTTGATTAGCAGAAATAACTTCCTTGTGATGCAGGAACACTAAAGTAGAGCAATGCTGCATCACTTCCTTCTCCTTTAAAGGGAGACGTCCCAAAAAATCTTTGAAACTACCGGTGAAGCTACCGGTGACAACGTGAAAATAACAGCAATGCTCACTGAAGCAGTCCTCAAAACACTCACCTCCATGATGCTCGTTAGCGTTCTGTACGTTGATTTAATTATTTTACAGACGGCATCATGAAGAGAACTCACTAGAGAAATTGCATTTCCTGCGAAAATGCAGTGTGAATGCTTATAGCAGAAAAACTTGCTGAAAAACAGCTGAAATTAGCTATAAAAAAAACAACATGCTGAAATGTAGTTGAAATGGAAGAATAAGCCTAAGTTAGCAGAAAAAAGTAGAAAAAAACATGTTTGCCCAATTAGGCTTAAAGAAGCAGAAATAAGCACAAACAATGTGGAAATGATCTGAAAAAACTGAAATCAGCAAAAACAACTGTAGAGTAGCTAAAAAGGCAGAAAGAAGCTTAAGTTACCAGAAGGAAGTGGAGAGAGCGCATTTTTGCTGAATTGGGTTGAAAAAAGTAGAAATGTGTGCAAAAATGTGGAATTAGCTGAAAAAGCTACAATTGCAATAAAACAGTTAAATAGTAGCTGAAATAACTGAAACTAGCAGAAATAAGCTGAAAGGAGCATAAGAAGCTGAAATTAGCAGAAATAAGTTAATTAGGCTGAAAGGAGCAGAGATTTCCATGAAAAACTTGAATTTATCTGAAAACGGCTAAAATTAGCTAAAAAGGTAGAACAAGCATAAATTAGCGGAAAAAAATAGAAAGAACACATTTGCCCAGTTAGGCTGGAATTAGCAGAAATGAGCACAAAAATTTGGATTATTTTTTTTTTTTTAAGGCTGAAATTAGCACATTAAACACCCGAAAAGTAGCTAAAAAAAAGCAGAAAGAAGCTTAAATTACCAGAAGGATGTGGAGCGAGCACAGTTTTGCTGAAATGGGCTAAAAAAGTTGAAATGAGTGCAAAAAACATGTGGAAATAGCTGAAAAAGCTTCAATTAGCATAAACAGCTAAATAAATGAAAAGCTGCGGGACGAGAGTTGCACTGAAAAACGTACAGAAGAAAAACGGATCACTGTAGAGTGAACGCCTCATGAACATTCAATAAAGACGAAAGCGATGAAAGCACACCAGGCTGGCACTTGATGATTGGCAAAGGCTTTAGATGTTTGCCTGCCTGACAGACCATAATATCTGCACCTTGATGCAGTTTCCTCAGAAGTCTCCTCAGGAGTTTCTGACGGGCAGCTGAAGTGGAGCGGGTCTCTGGGGTTTTCATAAACACTGAATCAAACGTCGGGTCTTGAACTGGTTGAGATGTTCTCTGCAGCTGAGTTTGTTTTTTGTCTTTTAATTTTGTCTTCTTGCAGCGCTGCGAACTCTTGCCCCTCCAGCCCTCGGGGTGCGGGCTCGTCGGGCTACAGGATGGGGGGTCGTATGGTCAGCTCTGTAGAGCTGCAGCTCATAAACGACAACTCCCAGCCCGAGAACGACAAAGAACCGTCCGAGGGGGACAGCCCCAAGGTGAGAGCCGGGTCTCCGACTCGCCTGAGTCGTTGCCTGTGTGAGCTTTGCACACATCCTGTCATGCACTGTATGTTTGGCTTCACTGTTGAAAGTGATTTTTCAGTAAAGAGCCACCCCGGCAGCCCAACCCGCCTGTTCTCTGATTGGATCGTTAACTTTGAGATTGACAGAACGTCGACCAATCAGCTGACAGGAAGAAACGCGCAGTTTTACATATAGATTTGTTTTATTTGTTTCTGTATAAAGACCTTAACAAAATAATGTAAATTGTGTGATTATTATTTTTTACACACATTAATTCCTGTCTATGGATCCACAATGATGTAGTTCTCAGACACTTTGGTTTCCAAGGTTAAAAATGTCTGACTGGACTCTGCCCATATAAATCCTGCTGCTGATCAGACATGTTTTATTTCCTTATCCTGCTTTTTTATCATGGAAAGAATAAAGTTATTAGTTATAAATCACAACTAAAACAACAGGAGGATGCTAAAGAACATGTAGCAGCATTAGCCAGCACTGTGTGATGCTTTACAGCTGCATCAAAGGGAAAAGACTCTTTTGTTTTTAAGAGGAACTGAAGTGAATATTTCAGCTGTGAGTCTTCTGTCTCCTCAGGACGACTCCAAGCCTCCGTACTCCTATGCACAGCTGATCGTCCAGGCCATCACGTTGGCTCCGGACATGCAGCTAACACTAAACGGAATCTACAACCACATCACAAAGAACTACCCCTACTACAGGACCGCAGACAAAGGCTGGCAGGTGGGTTCTGGCCCCGTGGTCTCTGATCAGACCCCTCTGGCTCCTGGGTCAGCGGAGGCGCAGCAGCAAACCCGTGAATCCCCTTTTTGTCTCGTTTTCACGCAGAACTCGATCCGTCACAACCTGTCGCTGAACCGCTACTTCATCAAAGTGGCGAGGTCGCAGGAGGAGCCGGGCAAAGGCTCCTTCTGGAGGATAGACCCGTCTTCAGAAGCCAAGCTGATCGAGCAGGCTTTCAGGAAACGAAGGCCTCGTGGAGTCCCCTGCTTCAGGACCCCACACGGACCCCTCTCCTCCAGGTCTGGATGTGTCCCACAGTCATGTTGACTTTGAGCTTCTTGTTTTGACCCATCTGATGAAAGTTAGACACTGACTGCTCAGTTTTCTCTGTAAAGCCGTAACGATTAGAATTTCTCTGGCTTTATTATTTGAATATTTTTTTTCTACAATTTGCTGTTTTGGAGTTTGTCATGTTAGGATGCTTCAAATATTTGTTTCTTTCTTTGTTCTGGTCTAGTTTTTTTTCCTATCTGTACCCCCTGATGGGCTGTAGAGACCCAGATTAGAATTTCTCTCCCCTTCAGAACAGTAAAAATGTAATGTGATAAATTTAAAGCTGCATTCTGCTGAATGACCAGCAGGGGGCGACGCTTGTTTAATCCGTTTATAATCTCAGTCACCAGTGTTTAATATAACAGTATGATGGTTTTTATTCAGTGTATTTTCTTGTATTTTGTGCATCACCGCCTCTGATGGTTCTGTCCCGACACCACAGGAGCGCCCCGGCCTCTCCCAATCACTCGGGGATTCTCTCCGCTCACTCCAGCGGCGTCCAGACCCCCGACAGCCTGTCGCGAGAGGGCTCCCCTGTCCCCGTGGAACCGGACACGTCCTCCGCTCCCGCCCCAGCACCCACCACCACCACAGTCCAGCCCAAACTGGCAGTGATCCAGGAAGCACGCTTTGCACAAAACACACCAGGTACGAGAGCTGTTTTATCAGAGCAGTGAAGAATCATCTCCAGCTGTTGATAAACATCTAAACAAGCTAACGCCTGTTTCCTGTTTCACTGAGAACCAAATCAAAGGTTGAGACGCTTGTCATGTAAATGTTCTGATCCAGGCTCGCCTGTTAGCAATCAGCCGGTCCTCATAGCAGTCCAGCGCTCGTTACCTCAAACCATCAAGCCTGTGACCTACACCATGGCCTCCCCAGTGGGCACCGGCGCATCGCAGCCCGCGGTCCAGACGGTTCACGTTCTGCAGCAGATCCCGGCCGGGTCCCTCAGCCCCGCCACGGCCGTCATCGCCCAACCAGCCACCATCATCAAGAGCGAGCCGCAGGAGAACGGGGAGCACGCCGAGGTCAAAGGTGAGGCACAAACCTCCACCAAGAACTGGAGCTGCTGCTTTGCTCCATCGATTTACTCCAGGATCCGTTTGTTTTATTCTGAAAGCCGAACGTTTGTGTTTCTCCGCAGTCAAAGTCGAGACACTTCCCAGCCTCGGCTCTTTGGGTGCCTCCACTCGCTTCTTCCAGAGCTCCCAGTCAGCCCCCCTGCAGACTGTTACCATCGTGCAGCAGGCCCCCCTGGGTCAGCACCAGCTGCCCATCAAGACCATCGCACAGAACGGCACCCACAGCCTCACCACTGCCCTGCAGGCGCCCGTCAGCTCAGGTCAGAGGAGTTCCTCTGTAGCTCCGCCTCCTCACACAGCTAAACTAAATCTGATTGGATCTGGTCGGGGTTAGACATTGTTGTCTTGTTTTTGTTTGTCAACAAAAATGTTCTCGTAGTTTTAAGTCGTGTTGAATTGTTTTTAGTCTGGAGAAGAAAAGTCATGTTTTAGTCCGTGACAAACGGCTGTCATTTCTCTCATTTTCTGCTAACTCGTCTTTTTTTCCTCCCGTCCTGCTCCAGCTGTGACGAGCCCCCTCCACCTGCTGGCGGCCCACGCCTCGGCCTCCGCCTCCCTCCCCACCAAGCGGCCGAACGGGGACCAGCTGGTCGTTCAGCCCGACTCCAAGCGCGTGAAGACTGAGGACGACGCGTCTCCCGTCGCCGCAGAGACGGACTCGCCGGCAGCCAACGACCAACCAAACTAGTCTGACCACGCACCGCACAAGCCCCGCCCCCTCAACCACCACCATCTCTCACCACCCGCTCCTCTTCTTTTGTCGTTTGTTTCCCTGCTGCTCCCTCCCGAGGTGCCAAACGGAGACGTTTTTCAGTTTCAGTCGGGTTTTCTGTTGACGTCATGAAGTTCACCCCTTTAAAAACTGCAAAATGGGTTGAGAACAAAAAAACGAAACCTCAAAGGTGTCCCCTGTGAGCTGCGGTGACGAGAGAAAGACTAACGCAAGACCACAGGAAGCCTTAACAACACGCTGACCTTTGACCTCAACTGATCAGAACCAGGAGAGGACTGGACGCCCCTTTCTGTCACACCTACCTCAGAGCAGATCGGAGCCTCCGGAAGCCCTCCCCCGACTCGTTTCAACGACCAACCGAGCGGCGAGTACGACAAGTGTTCATCTTTTTATCATCATTATTATTATTAAAAATAAAAACTAAAAATCATAAAGGGATCAACTTGGAGCCAAGATTTCTAAAACTGTGGCAGCTAGCCTCACAATACTGACCTTCCTTAATTGCAGCTGTGCGTAGATATGCAGTATTTGTTCAAAATGTGGAGCATAGGATTTTTTAAATGTATTTAGAAAAGTAATAAATTAATCAAAGGAAGCATGCAAGGCGGTGAGGTTGGTGACATTTCGGTAACCGAGTTAGAAATCTTTGTTCTGTGATTTTTGTTCTTTTCTGTTCTGTGAAACAGTGTATTTGGTAAACCTTCCCCGCCCTTGTTCTGACATATCCGTATAAATCTGCTTTCTTATACCTTCATATCTGAATACCTGCACAGATATAAGCAAATCTCCATGTGTAGTACCAGATGTTGCATGTATCTGACACGAGAAGAGTCTTTAACCGTCGACCAAACGGAGGAAAAACAAAAAAAACTGCTTTTTTTTAAACCCAACCTGCACTTGATTCAATGTTTTTTTTTATTTTTATTATTGTTCTTTTTGTTTCCCATCATACCTTGCTCCTTCTCACTGTCCCTCCAGGCTGTGTTGATGTTGTGGTGTTGGCAGACCCCCACCCAGTCCCCCCCACACCCATTTCTTTGATTATGGCGACCCGGCAGATTGTACACGTTCCAAACAATAGCAAGAAAAAAATTGATGTTTGTTCTGCTTCAGTGGAGAAATGCTTTTTTAAATAAATTAATTTAAAGTCTTTTTTGTTTTAAGTTCTTGCTGTAATTCTGCTGGTGTCCACAGGGGGCAGTGTAGGACCAGTTTTCAGCTCAAATGGTTTGATAAAGAAGATTAAAGTCTTAAAATACAAACCGGATGTCTTCTGATGACATAATACCATTACAGGTGGAGACAGAAAAGTATCGTTAACAACAACTGACCAGAATATCAATTTGAAGGAAGAAGCAGGTAAAAGATAATGAATGGATGAACAATTTATATCAAATTAAATCAGCTGGCGCTCCTCTGTGTTGGAGGACCTAAATAAAACCACTCAGGCAGACTGGACTGGCACTAAACTTCACATCCTGCATCAAACACTAACTTAAAATATATTTATATATATAAAACCAAAATGTATCAGATCAGCTGCGGTTCGGCCCAACACAGATCTGAATTCAGAGCAGTTCGATCGTCCTACAGTCCAATTCAGTGGATTATAAAATGTCAAACAACTTCAAATCTTCACTTTGACTCAACCCTTCATCCTGAGCAGAGTCACACTCGAGCCAAACAACTTCCTGTTTAACAGGAAGAAACCTCCGGTTGTGTTCATTCCTGTAACGACAACACAGTTCACACCTGGTACTTCCGGGGTACATACCACAGTACTCAGGGTATATGCTGGTTACATACCTGGTACCTATTGGGTATGTGCATGGTACTTATCAGGACCGGGCTGTATGACTAGTTACCCTGTATTTATGGTGTGTACCCAGTACATATTCAGGAAATACCAGATCTTACTGGGTACAAATCTGATACCTACTGGATATGCCTATTGGGTACATGCTGAGTTTCTACTGGGTACACACCAAAGATACCAGGAACCTACTGGGTCTATAGTGGGTACTTCCTGGTTACATACCTGGTATATACACCTATTGGGTATGTGCTTGGTACTTATCAGGACCGGGCTGTACCCTGTATTTACGATGTGTACCCAGTACGTATCCCAGAAATACTAGATCCTCACTGGGTACAGATATCTATATTGGATATGTACCTACTAGGTACATGCTGTTCCTACTGGGTACAGATCAAGTACCTAGAGAAAATACCAGGTACTTACTGGGTCCATAGTGGGTACTTCCTGGTTACTTCCTGGGTATGTACCTGGTACCTATTGGGTATGTGCTTGATACTTATCAGGACTGGGCTTTATTATGGAGTGACTTCTTACCTATACCCGTTAAGTACCTGGTACCTGTTGGGTATTTACTGGGTACTTAATGGTACTGGACTGTATTGTGAAGTCACTTGTTACTCTGTACTAACAGAGTACTTATATGTATTTACCTGGTAAGTCACTACAACCCAGTATCCAGTGCCAGGTATCTACTAATACGTACTGCCTAAAAAAAGGCCTCAATCTAAACCACTTCTGGGAACATGAGAGTATCATCAGCATATAATCCATAAAATCTAAGAGAAGAATAATATTGAATTACACGTTCAATTTGATTTAATCTTAAAGGGGAGTCGAGACATTTTAAACCCACCATGTCCAAAACGTCTCATTTGTTGTTCAGATGAAATACTTTAAATGATTCTGTTTTCATCCGTCAGTCGTTCGTTTTCTGTGCCCCCTCAGGAGGAATTACTCCCCAAGCTTCCCTAATAACTTCGGTTTGGATGAGTTTGGAGGCTGCGGAGCCTCCAGACAGGGAGGACTTGTGGACGCTGGGGGGACGTGAAGACGGAGTGTTTGAAACACGAGCGAGCCGCAGAGTGGGTGAAGATCATCACAGGCTCATTAGCGCTGCTTCCGCTGCTGGTGGTGTAGGCGGGGTTGCCATGGAAACCGGAGCTTGTTGCCACACAGGTGACTGCATGGAGCAGTGATGCTCTGGAAGCTGGAGAGGCTGCTGCACACAGAGATACAGAGACTGGGTGGGATTGGTTCTCTTCAACCGGAGCAGATCACAATGCTGCTCACATTTCAACCTTTTTAGCATAAAACATAATCTGATGAGGATGATTCTCAGCTACTGAAGTTTAGCTCAGCATCAGTAAAACTGAGCCATTATTGTGTTGGTTTGTGCAAGTTCCAATATAGGCTACTTTTTAAAAAATTAAAATGAAGAAAATATTACCAAAGTGTTAAAATCACACAAAAAGTTCATGTGTGTCAACAAAACATAAGATGATCAACAGGAAGGGTAGAAGCAAAACAACAACAGAATAGTCTATGAAGATTTCATGCTTTAAAACCAAAAACCAAAGAGAAAAACTGAGTTTTAATGAGCCAATTAAATAAATGCCATCAGGATGAGTGGCAAAGATAAACTATTTTACTGATTTAAAAATTAAAAGATAAAATATTTGACAGATTTAGAGACTGAAGGTTTCATCAGATTTGTTTTTAAAGACGAATCTGATGAAAATCACATTTTGTGCTAGACTGTAAGTCGAGATTCATTCTGCTGCTGAGCACATGATGGCAGCACAGAGCAAAGCATGCAGCTCTGCACGTGCACGCACATGCACTACAATCAATGCCCAGGTTCTGGCTCGGACTCCAGGGAGTCCAGGGCTGCACAGCAGAGGTGACAAACTCTCAGCCGCTCATCTGCCCCAAACATCTGGCAGCAGCTGAGGTGTGTGTGTGGTGGGGGGTAACAGAGAGGCATGTGGGTGGTTTGGAGAAGAGAGGACACGATGCTGCACTCAGGGAGTCTGTGTGGGTGTCTGATGCAGTGATGGAGCAACAAGCCGAGCTGAAGGACCTGCGTACCTGAAGAACTTCATCCCTCGTAGCGTCTGCCCCACACCTGGCCTGGCGCCCATCCCAAATACTCTCCCAGACACACAAGAGGGACTTGTGCTTTTAGATGAGCCTCAAAAAGACCTTCACTCAAGTTTTTAATATCTCAGGAGAAGACTAAACCTGTAGATTTCAGGGCTGAAGGGTCAGCTGCAGTTCTGGTTCATGAAAAGGTTTAAAAAACATCACAAGATCCTCTCAGAGGGAAGGCAGCAAGTTCATCAGTTCACTCAAGCAAAGAGCTTCAAAGGCTGGCATCATCAAGTTACCTTTGTTCAAGTTTTACACTAAACATTGTGACCAGTGATGTCATTCAATTACCAGACCTTTTCGTTGTAGACCTGAAATATCGTTTGGGAACTAAAACCATCTAAGCCTTTTGTCTTCATCCTTCATTTTCAAGCTCGACTGACCTTCAAAACGGTCGTGGTCTCAGTGGATGGCCACTGCAGAGCTGCTTGAGTCATCCTTCATCAAGTGTTACTTATTTAATTAAACAATGATCAACCAGTTTTATAATGTCCGCCCCGTCATTGTACTCATGTCAGTTTAAAAACAAAAAGGTTGTACTCAAAGGTACAATTTGCTTTAAAGAAAAGTCCAAGTTTTTGACTTTACACACACAAAAATAACAGATTTGTTGTCATAAATCAACGTTAGCTTTAAACAATCCAATTATAGACTTTGTGTTGTGATTGACAAGCTGGGGAGGGGGCTGTCGGTGGACTGGGGGACATCTGAGGAGACTAAAGCAGGGAGGACGAGCAGCACGGTGTTGCTTAAAGCCAACGTGCAAGATGGCTTATTTACATTTGTGATTACACACAGGACAAAGTTTCAGATTGATGTGTTTTTGTTTTGACTGAAACTTGGCTCCATGGCAACGCCTCCGACTCTGTAATCCAACATCTTTTTGTGCAGACAGAGAGCTCTGCTGCGTAACAAGACCTCTCTGAGCTCATCAATGAGATGCTGCTCTAAGGAAAAAATGTCAGAACTCAACCTCTTCAACACCAAAGGTTGAAGGTGCAGACTGGTGAAACAGCGTCCCACACCAAAGACCCACACACGTCTGCTCAGAGCTAAAAGTTCACCCTGCAGCCAGGCACTCGTAAGACGAAACAAGTCCTGCTCCATTCCCTCTGTTGGCTCGTCTTTGGACATCTGGGAGAAGATTTGCTCCACGAAGAACGTCTAAAAGTGCAACAGCTTTGTTCTTCAGGAAACAAGACTGTGATCCCACTAACACTCATCTGACCAAGAAAAACAGCTTCATTTCCATCCATCCATCCATCCATCCATCCATCCATTATCTTTTACCCGCTTCTTCCATTTTGGGTCACTTGAAATCAATCCATCTGTTTTCTCCTCTCTGTGGTCTGTCTGAGGAGGCAACCGGTCCAGGAGGGAATCTCTGACCCCTCTCTTCACAGCGACACGCTCCAGCTCCTCCTGTGGATCCCAGTGTGTTCCCAGGAGGAATATTTGGTTCCTCGAGCTAGTTCTGGGTCTGCTTTGGGGTCTCCTTTCAGTAGGATGTACTTGGAAAACCTTCAGGGGGCATCCTAATCAGATACCTGAACCTTCTCAACTGGTTTTTTTCAGTTGTACTCCAAGTACGCCACAGATGATGGAGTTTAAATCAATATCTTTGTCACCTCCTCTTGGTGGAAAGGGTGATCAAAAACTTGCAAAAAGTTCTTAAGAAAGTCTAAAAAAGTTAAATCTGGTCCTCTGGACATTCAAAAAAACAAAAC